GCAAACCCTTCCTCTTGAACCTCCACTGTCTTCCCTAGAAATCCTCCAGCAGGAGTCTGTGTGCGTGCATCCATGTGTGCTTGTGTGTGTGTGTGTGTGTGTGTGTGTGTGTGTGTGTGTGTGTGTGTGTGTTTTTAGAAGAGCGTTCTGTCAGAGTGTGTCATGGAGCTTGTCCTCGGGGTGTGTCCATGTAGGTCGGCACATCTAAATAAACCAGACTAACATACTGTGTTTGGGAAATGCTGGCATCTCCATACAAATGTCTCAGGGTTTCAAGAAATGTCATTGGATCTGGGACTGTTGGGAAATCTCACTGAGTCCAGGACTGTTGGGCTGCATTACTGTCCTTCCGTGGCCAGTTTTCTGAGAGGTGATTTGTAGTCTTGGTGTCAAGTGAGTGTTCTCTGCTTAAAAAGTCAAATCACAGCTCTAATTTGTCTAAAATCTCCACTAATCATCTGTAAAATGTCACAGTCATTCAGAGTTTAGAATTAGCCTGAGAAGGAGCCATTTTTAATTATTTCTAGCGTGGCACGTTCTGTTTGTAAGTGAGTGATTTTTCTGGTTGGGGAGTAGCAGGTCTTAAAGGAGGGAATAGAAAATGCTGGCAGTTCAGGAAGGGAACTCTGTTCTGTGCCGGAGGAGAGCAAGAAATGGGACATTAGCAAGGTCTGTGTCCTCAGGAAGCGGGGGCCCCTTGATCCATTTATTATTAACTGGGGGTGAGAAGTTGTAAAGACAGGTGAGCAGGTGAGTGGCAGAGGCAGCCAAGATAAGAAGGGACAGAATGGGTGTTTACCTTCCCACGGCTGTGCAGTGACAGGTGGCTCTGGCCGCCAGGACTAACGTGTTCTCTAGCATCTGTGTGTGGAAGGTTGGGCAGCATTTTGTGATTCCAATCTGTAGATGGGAAAGCTAAGTCCAGAAGATACGCTTGCCTTCTGTGAGACATTAGAGGACAGTGAAAACTCAAATGCATATGCCCCAACGGGCTGGGGGCTCTGAGTCAGCAAAGTTTGGTGGTAGCTGTGCTTTGAGTCAAGAACATTCCAAGGGCACAAAGGTATCAATCAGGTTTAAATCAATTGGTATCAATCAGGGTTAAAATGTGTCTGTTGGGTTTTGGTAACGATTACTTTTTTGACAATTGTCTGTTTTCTAATTGCATGTGTTTGTTTTTTTGTTTATTGGGTGCAGCATGCATATGGGGATCAGAAGACATCTTTTGGGGATTGGCTCTCTCCTTTCAGTGTGGGCCCTGGGGATTGAACACTGGAAAACTCAACCAGTGAGGCACTCTCCTCTTTAAAGGCACCCTTTCCCATGACCTGGAAGTCGCCCCTGAGGCTCCACCTCTTCAGCACCCCACCACCTCCCAAAAGTGCCACTCTGGGGAAAGAAGCCTTCAACATAAGGATCTGTAAGAACATTCTAGATGCACACTCTGAGGTGGAAGGGGAGCAGGCAGAGAGAGCAAGCCCCCTCTCCTCCTGTCCATGAGGTGGACAGCCTGCTCTACCCAGTGACTTTGCTGTGATGGGCAGGCCCAAAGCAGCAGGGACAATTGGAACACACACACACACACACACACACACACACACACACACACACACACACACACAGCCACAGCAAATCTTTCCTCCTCCTCCTAAGTTGCTTCTATCACTATTTGCTGTCATGGAAAACAGCTGACAGTCAGAATAGCAGTGTGAAGTAGAGCCTGGCTCCTGGGGTTGCTGTACCCAGGAGGTGTGATGCAGCAGAGCCTCTGGCCTCAGAGTGCCCACCAGGGACACTTGCTACCAAGGGCTGTGTTCTATGCTTCCTTTGAACCGCATCATGAAAAGCTGGGGCAACCGAAATGGCTACCTGGTTGAGCTGTCCAGTTTGCCGATGCCTCCCACCATGCCCATTAGTTTTTGTCAACTTGACCCAAGCTAGAGTCACCTGGGAAGAGGAAATGGACGTCACCCTAGGATTTGCCTCCATAAGGTTGGCCTGTTGGAAAGTCTGTAGGGTGTTTTCTTGGTTAATGATTGAATGGGGAGTCAGTTCTTGCCTCCAGGTTTCTGCCTTAGTTTCCATAGGTGATGGACTGGAACCTGCAAGCAAATAAACCCATGCCTGCCTCCCCAAGTGGCTGTGGGTCATGAGTTTCATCACAGCAACAGAGAAACCTAACCAGTACACACACTAAGGCTGAGGAGCACAGAGTGTGTGTTTTGTTCAGACAGAACAATTGTCAAAGGGCCAGTGAGATGGTGCAGTGGGTAAAGGCATTTGCTGCCAAGCGTGATGACCTGAGGTCAATCTTCAAGGTCTGCCCACATGATGGACAAAGAAAACTGACTCCTGAAAGTTGTCCTCTCACCTACACACACACACACACACACACACACACACACACACACACACACAGAGAAACACAATAAATAAAAAAATAATAAATAAATAGACTTTAAAAAGAACAATAGTCAAAGAAAGAAAGAAACTGACTTTAAAAAGAACAATAGTCAAAGAAATCGTTGTTTGTTTCCAAAACTCAATGGGTGCATTGTGACCCTGGTTGGTACACGAGGCTTGTTTGTCCCCTTGGATCAACTCAGAAAGATCAAAGAGTGTTGAGATACAAGCAGTTCCTGGTGTCTTTGTCATGGTGTGGTCAACCTTAAAAGTGAGATTCTGGTGGTAGCTAAGGTCAGTTAGCATCCACATTGCATTTCCTTTCCAGGAGCTACTTCCGTATCTGTGGGTAATGATTATCAGTTTGAGAATGTAAAATGATAATAATTTGCATATAAATATTATATGTATAGTTTGCCTGTTGCATAGCAACAGTCCTGGGGTATAGTAAACATAATACGTCTCAGAAAACAAATCAGCTTAACAATAGGGAAACTGTTATTTATTGTGCATTCAAGTCACTTAGATGTTTTGAGGTCACCCCTGCCAGTTGATCTCTGCTTCTTGGGTTAAGAATATGGAAATAGAGCTGCACACACATGCTCCAGATACATACATGCAGGCAACCACTCATAAACATTAAATAAAAATAAATTATTTTTTTAAAATGTAGATATAAACAGAAGACACACCCTCACCTGAAGGAAACCTACAGCTTCCCACCAAGGTCATCATTTTTGTTGTGTTTTGTGCTTTTGGTCGGTTGAGTGAAGACAGGGGGTTTAAGCCGCTGGTAGGACATCATAACCCTGCAGTCTGACATTGTGAATTTACACATGGCAAGTTAATAACACATCCCTGGGGCATCAAACTAATAGTGGAGTTTTTTGGTTAGCAACTAATGTATAAAACTTACTTCTGCCTAATTGTATTAGTTACTTTTCTCACTGCTGTGATTAAACACCTTACAAAAACAGCTTAAGGGAGGGTTAACTCTAGCTCACAGTTTGGGGGTACAGTCCATCATGGCAGGGAAGGCACAGAGGCAAGAGCTGAGGCAGGTGGTCACATTGTGTCCACAGCCAGGAAGCAGAGAGATGAATACTGGTGCCCAGCTCACTTCCTCCTTTTTATTCGGCCCAGGACCCCAGCCCGTGGAATGATGCTGCCTATATTCAACGTGGGTTTTCCCTCCTCAGTTCCCTTCCTCGGAGATGTGGCCAGAGGTTTGTCTCCTAGGTGATCCTAGATCCTGCCAAGTTGACAATAGATACTAAGCACCCCACAAAGGAAACTCAATTTAACTCATACTAGCATGCTAGCATAAAGTACTGCTTGGCACCAGGAGGGCTTTGGAGCATTGAGAGACACCTTAAAACCATCAGAACAGACATTCTTGCCCTGGAACATACATTTTAAAACAGAAGAAAAACCACAATCAACATAAGCAAGTGAAAAAAAAATTCATATTAAGTAAGCGCTTGAAAGAAGCTGGAATAAGGAGGTGAAGGTGATACAGGGGTCACACGGGGGCCAGGGGGTGATGTGGGGATTTTACGTATTTTACATTCTCCGTGTTGACTTTGGCCAAATCTTAAAGTGGATGAGCAAGTGTGTGTGAATGAGCAAGGAGCACTCTGGCAGTGGTGACATGGTGTGCAAAGGTCCTGCATCAAGGTGCCTGGCATGGAGCCAGCGTCTTCTGGTTCCTCTGGAGCACGTGGAATGTCTCAGAAAGTCCCACCTGAGTCACCAAAAGGAGGGACAGGAAAACACACGTAAGTCTGTGCCTGAGACACAGCCCCACCGCGATGGGCGGATTAATACGGGAAAAGTTCATGAGTTTACTAAGCAGGCAGGTCCACCACGTGGGAGAAAAGTATTTCCACACAGAACGGCACATTTTAGGGAGATGACACTGTCCCGGGTATCCGGGGTGAGAAAAGAGTTCCTGGGAGGAAATGCCGTCCCATTTGCTCACCTTCAGCTAAAGAGTCCTTTCTAATTGGAAGAAAAGGATGTTGTTTGTTCTGGTGCCTCTTGTCTTCCATTACTGTAGCAGAACACTCGAGACAATCAGCTTTCAAGGAGGAGAGGCCTATTTTGGTTTAGTGGTCCACTGGCCTTGCTTTGGGCCTCTGATGAGGCAAGGGCGCACCATGGCAGGGAGCGGGTGGGTGGCCAGCAAGACCCATGGATCCACCGTCAGCCTCCCCAGGGCCTATGTTTTCTGGTGGACCTGTGTGGGTGCTGGGGGTGGAATTCAGGTCCTAATGCTTTCGTGGCAAACACTTCAGTGGTTGAGCGTTCTTCCCAGCCCCTAGAGCACCTTCACAGCCTTTGGAAAGGGAAAGAAACACAAGCTCTGTGGGCTATTGATCAGAGGGTGGGGCCCCGCATGGAGGAGATGTCAGCAGTGCACACAAGAGTGGTTCATAGAGGAGAGTCAATAGCTGTTCATTCTGGGCTGACTGGGCTCAGCAGTCCTGAAAGTTTGTACCTGACACAGGAAAACAGGGTGTGGTGTCCCCGGTGGTCAGCTGCAAAGGAATTCAAAGTCTCCACATAAACAGACTTTTCTGTTGACTTCACCTGCAGCTGATTAAATGCCTTTATTATTTTTTTTTTCACCTGCCAGCCTGTGTGATTAATTTTAAGGCAGTTCAGAATTCCTCTTTATTAGTTACTCTCAGGGACTGCTTTAGTAATCCCTAGTCATCACTACAGAGGACGGTATCTTAGAAGATGTGGCAGGAATTAAACTGTGTGTGGAGAGTAGACTGGGGTACGCAGGTGGCTTCTTTGTGGTCTACCGAGAAGCTGCATGGCTGCCCTGAACGAATGTGCTTGTTGTGGGGACACTTCACAGCGCGGTTTCTTCCAGCAACCGCCAAACAGTAGTGTGGTGTTTCCCATATGCACGCGAGCTCAGTACATACAGCACACGGGTCATTCCACTTTATCCTCAGGATACCTGCATGCACTAAGAAGCCGCGTCATACGGCTTCACAGGGGACATCTAGAAACTTCTGCTTCCACAGGTGTGAAGGTTCCAGAAAGTCTCAGTGGGCACCTTGCTCTCCTCCTGTAGCCACTAAGGATATTGACAAAGCACAATTGTGAGTCTCAGGAATGGCATGGCGGTGGGCAGATTGGGTTTGCTCCAGAGGGTATCTCAGGGTCCCCATCCCTTCACACTGTATGAGGGCTGAGGACCGCTTCGCCTTCTGTTCTAGCATCAGGGCTTGGGGCCAAGTGGGAGCTCTCTTGATTATTCGTGTGTTTTCTGTGGCTGGGGGCACATCCCAAATGCAGCATCAAGGAAACAGTGTCTGGGCTGGGGAGGCAGCCCCACTGTTAAGGGCACTGGCTGCTCTTCCAGAGGACCCAGTTTGGTTCCCAGAATCCCCATTGGATGGCTCACAACCATCTCTATCTCTACCTCCATGAGATCTGACACACTCTTCGGGCACCCATGCGCATAGCTGCATACAGACGCACACTCACACACACAAAGATAAAATAAATCTTCAAGAAAGCAGCACCTCCTTGTCACTCGGCATTTTGAGCTGCCGTTGGAGTCTGTCTTCCCAGCATATGCCACTTAGCGGTTCCCAAGGGAGGAAAGATTAAATCTTGAGTTGTCTGAGCATGCCTGGGGGAATGCCTGCGGCAGGGACTGTACACCCTCTTCTGAAAGTGCAGGTCTAGGAAACCTTTACCGGATAATAATTTTGAAACCTCAGGGTAGTGATGGCTCCAGGGTGATTATGTTAAACCCAGAGGGGACCTGGGGGAAGTGGCAGGTGGAGGACCTAAGACTTTAGTTAGTAGCTCAGCAGGCCTAGTTCATGATCTTGGGCTTCCAGGGAACCTTTATCTGTTGTTCCTATTGACTTCTTTGATGTTTCTTCACCCTCAGCCAAGTCCTGTTACTAATATAGCCAAGGTGGGTACTTGGTGTGGGGGGGGTGCATTCGGTGTCTAAGAGGGTTTTCAGCACAAACATGAAGGCCTGGGTTCAGAACCCTGGCGCTCACATGGAAAGGTAGGCATGCACCTGTACCTCAGCACTGCGGAGGAGCCGTTGAACATGGTTTGGGGTCTGTTTGGGAGTGTGTTTCTGGAGGAGGTTACATAGGGTTAAGCTAAGGAGATCTGTCCACCGCTGTGTCTGGCTGTGTCTCGAGTGTCCAGGGCCCATACTGAACACAAGATTAATTCTCTCTGCCTCCTTGTGCTGGGACACCTCCTGCTCTTAGATGTCCGAACCCTTGGTTCTCAGGCCAGTGTTCTGCCCACTGTAGGCTGGAAGCCTGGAGGCTTCAGAGAAGGACCTGTTCCTTCCGTGCTCTCGTAGGGACACACCGTTCTAAAGAAAAAGGAAACAAGCAGGGTCCAGGGTTGTAAACTCGGTCAGTTTCACAGAGGATGAGACAAGAGGCCACTGAAGTGTGTCTCTGTCAGGGAGGCTTTCAGTGCCCGGAGCTCCTTCCAGGGCTTCCTTCCTCAGCGAGCACCACGCTAACAATAGTGAAGGCATACATTGTTCCATATCTTGCTAGTTATTGAAAAGAAACAAAGATAGTCATGGCACCTGCTGAGCTACACCTCTCTCAGAGGCATCTGTACAAGTGAGAAAATTCTAGATCTGTGACTTGCTTTGTTGTGGCATGTGAAGGCCCACAAACGTTCTCTGCTACGCCTTGAAGGGGATTTAAATGCCAGCAGACCCATGTCAGCATGATCCGAGGGTTTTGTGTGAAATGTTCCACAGTCTGCCTGCGTGGTCCTAAGATGGTGGGTACTTACTGAGAGAGTCTGTCCCACCTGGAGGAAGTGAGTCACTGGAGGGCAAGCCTTAAGGGTTTTAGTCCAGCCCTGCTTCCTGCCCCAGCTCCCTGCTTCCTGTCCCAGGGTCTCTGCTTCCTGCCCCAGCTCCCTGCTTCCTGTCCCAGGGTCTCTGCTTCCTGCCCCAGCTCCCTGCTTCCTGTCCCAGGCTCCCTGCCTCCCTAGGTTCCCTGCCTCTTGCCCCAGATTCTTTGCTTCCATTCTCAGGCTCTCTGCTTCCTGCCCTGGTCCCCTTCTTCCTGTCCTAGGTTCCCTGTTTCCTGCCTTAGGCTCCCTGTTTCCTTCCTTAGGCTCCCTGCTTCCTGCCTTAGGCTCCCTGCTTCCTGCCCCAGGCTCCCTGCTTCCTGCCTTAGGCTCCCTGCTTCCTGCCTTAGGCTCCCTGCTTCCTGCCTTAGGCTCCCTGCTTCCTGCCTTAGGCTCCCTGTTTCCTGCCTTAGGCTCCCTGCTTCCTGCCCCAGGCTCCCTGCTTCCTGCCCTGGTTCCCTTCTTCCTGTTCTAGGCTCCCTGTTTCCTTCCTTAGGCTCCCTGTTTCCTGCCTTAGGCTCCCTGTTTCCTTCCTTAGGCTCCTGGTTTCCTGCCCTAGTCTACCTGCTTCTTGCCCCAGGGTCCCGGCTCCCTGATTCTCAAAGATGTGACACTTCATCACCAGCAGTGCAGACAGGAGCTGGTCCTGCTGGCCATCATGCCTGCCCCACCTTGGTGGACTGTGCCCTTTCAAACTGAGAGCCCACATTGCTCACAGGTTGCTTCTTTCAGAGATTCCACTGCAGTAATGAGAAAGCAGACGGTTCTGTAATACAGCCTCGGATTAGAGATAGGCCAGCACAGCATTGGGGCTGGTGTAGTCGCGGTACCCAAATGGGAAGCCTGATATTGTAGAAGGCTGTTGTTTGTATGACCACCTGTGGCATTTGCCCTCCCGAGGCTCACAGGTGCAGAGCTGTGACCCGACATAGCAGCTAAGGAGCAGAAGACTGGAATTTAACAACCCAGTTTAGAGCTCTCTTCCTAGGAATCTAACTCGTTTGCTGTTGTTTGGAGACAGAATCTGTGTCTTAGTTCCATTTCCTGCTGTGATGAAATACCCTGACAGAGGAAACTTAAGGGAGAAAGGGTCTTGAGGCTCATGATTCCGACTCCATGACAGTTCATCACTGGAGCAGGAATCCGAAACCCCTAGTTACGTTATGTCCACGGTCAAGAGCAGAGAGCAGCAAACATACACGCCAGTGCTTAGCTTGATTTCTCCACCCTTAAACAGTTCAGGATCCCTGACTGGGGAATGGCGCCGCCCACTCTCAGGCTGGGTCTTTCCACATC